TTACACTGATTTTAAGTTATACATAAATTATATACAATAAGTCTTACTTATATATACTTGTTCGTATATATTCATATTTATATATTCTTTAGTGTGGTGGTTCATTTCCACAAATAGCCTTGGGAAAGGTATGAATTCTCTCATTCTCCCACCAGCTATGGGTTAAATAGCAGATTAAACTGAGCTAGCTTGCCTCGGATCGCAACCGGTCAAAGAGAAAGAAAACTCAAAATTCCAAAACCATGGAGAAGACAGAAGCAAACCATTCCGCATTCTTTCCCAAGCATGCATGACAATTCTCAGTTAATAATGAAAAGAAATCTTTAGAGATTCATGATCATCTCCGTCATGAATAATGGGGCATTTAAAAATACTTACATATTCTTAATTATATATTTTTATTCATCCTTTAGTCTTATTTATAGATTCTTATTCATATATTCATTATTCTTAAACATTCTTATACATTGTTAATTAGATATTCTTTATTCTTATATATTCTGGCGAATATATTATTTATTCTTATTTGTATATACTTACTTATTGTGGGTAATCGAATGGCAAAATGGAGAAAATTCCTACGTGACACATTTCGCTCCCAGAAGAAATTCCTTCAGATTAATATTCGTTTTATTCAGTCTTAAATGTGGAAAATGTTTTCGTGTGACGCGTTTCTTGTTGGACTTCATTGGACTAAACTGATATTTATGTTCATGCGATTACACATGCGCAAAAACGAAAGGAGACGCTGGGAATTCTAAATGTAAATGTTTTTTTTTTTGTTTTTTGTTTTTTTTGGTGTGTGTGTCTTTTAAAATAATTTGTGTTTGGGGTAAATATATCATCTAATCGATTCCATTTATATTCTTCTCTCTTTCTGTTTATATTTTTATCGCTTTTGTTATTAAATATCCCACGATGTGATAATAGGTCTGCCAAGAATGGTGAAAAGTTCTAAATATCTGGACGAAAATTTTACTTTATTTACATTATTCGGACTATTGTCCTCATCTTTGTTGCCATATTTATTACAACGTTTCGGCCGTTGTACGCTCCGGCCTTCTTCAGGTGGTTGCAATGTCGAACTGAATCCTTTATTTCGCTCTCTGGGTAGACTGTTCTAGTTCCATGTGCCATGTTTAATGGATGTCAGTTATCAGTTATCTCCTGCTAATTTCCTCTGAAAGTTCTCCACTGCCTTAACCGGGTATTGAACTCATACTCTTTGGGTCCTCTCACTGGATCTAACCAACGCCTTTATCCACTGTGCCATGTGTCCTTGAGGAGATAACTGATAACTGACAAATGCTTTAGTTTCCTTTCTTTCACCATACGGTCCGTTTTAGACACACTGGAATGACAGGATGTAATCAATTTCATTTTACCTAAAATCAGGTTATTTGCAGTAACATAAATCTAATTTCGATGTATATGATGAAATTTGTTTTTTCTTGAAAAATTTTGCCTCATCGATGATTGCCTCAGATTTTTATCACGCCCAGACACTATTGTCTCGACTGTCGATTAGTTGTCCTATGGCCATTGTCAGCGATGGACGTTACTTCAAAGAAACGTACGAAAATTGTAAAGCTGCACGAACACACTGGCAAGCCTTACCAGTGAGCAAATCAATGTACTAAAATATCCTGGTTTAAATTCAATCGAGAATCTGTAGTCAATCTGCAAGGAAAGACTTCGTGGAATGGACATACGAAGTACTAACAATAACGGAATTATTCGTTTTGTTTCAATTAATTGGCACAAAAGGGTGTATTCTTATTTAACGAATTAACGGATGTATTTTTTATCATTGTAAACATTTCTAATATAGTGAACCTTATACTCAAATTTTGCATTTTTATTTAACATGACCCCGAAAATGAATGTGCGTACACTACAGTTCAAAAGTTTGTAGCCACCCCCAAAATTAGCATGGGATGAACTTGACAGAAGAGTGAAAAATAGCTCTTAGGGTCATTGAAATAAGAATGAAATCAATAGTCAAACTTATACTTTGAGAAACTTTTGCAACGAATGCCAAAAATTTGTGCTGCGGTAATCAAGGCTAATGGAAGATATTTTGACGAGAGCAAAATTTAATCATAAAATGCTTTTTTCTTTTTGTTATAATATTTCTAATAAAAATCATAGCTCACTTTTTTATCCATGTATAATAATTATTTTCTTATTTATAGTACAAAACAACTACTTTTTGAGCCAGTTTAAAAAATTACCAACTTTGAAACTGTAGTGTATATAAATTTCTTACTACTATAAACGTTATTTATAGTCGGTGCACGTGTTTGGGTTGATATATCTCTACTTAATTATTCTTAAACAGTGAAATTAATATCAAGTGGCTTAGATAAAGAAAGTCGTACTGAAAATAATTACTATGATAGTCTCCTGTGAGTCAATTTGTAAGGACGCGCTTCGACTAGAGGTGTGGTATCGCTTATGGAAATAGAGAATACAGATACGATTCCTGACGAGAAATATTTTCTTTAGTATAACTTCTCTATCTAGGCCGGTTAACATTATTTTCATTGATTAAGAAAATAAAAGAACATAGTTGTCAAATAATGTCTGATTAAAAAAATCCATTTAAAAGTTATTTTTTACGTTGCGGGTAAGTGAATAAATCTTGCAAATATAGACTTGCAAATGTTCCAATGATAGGTGTGCATTCATTAGGTAGGTAATTGACACTTTCCTTATCATGATGGTCTCCTGTGGCCTAATTGGTAAGGGTACGCTTCGATTACAAGAGTGGTTTTCCTGGTCCCTCTTATCTTCAAAACATTCTAAGTGTCAATTTTTCTAAGCTTTCTTTCCTAATCATGTGTCCCAGTAATTTCAATTATCTCTTTTTCATTCTAAGTATAAGCAACATTTTTTAATCAATGTTCGATATATCGAGCTATTCATACTAAGGAAAAACCTAAAGGAAATAATAAAAAATCTTTAGAAAATATTCGAGAAAAATTCCGTTGTATACTTTATTCGTGGACTTACATTTCCTTGGTGGTTTAACAGAGTCATCAAAAGTTTACCACTTCACTGTATACAAATTAAAAAAAACTAAGTATTCATGTCTTCTCGATTACAAAAAGTGTATATCGTCACAGATATTGTAAAAATATGATTAACTGATCGAAAATAATCACTCTTTGTACATTTTATAAAGAACTGAGCAACATAAAACAAACGCTTATCAGCATTAATTTCTATAATCAGGCCGTCGGCGAACGCATGAAATTAGTTTAAAAGAAAAAACATGACACAATCATATTATTATAAAAAAAAAAAAAAAACCTTATTAATTTATTCTGCCGTAACCAAATGCACTTTATACACAAGTTGAAAAGGCCTTTAAAAATATAACTTGCTGGTATATATATATATATATATATATATATATATATATATATATATATATATATATATATATATATATATGAGCGATTACAATGAATAACTTAGATTTATCATTCATTATAAAAAGTTTGAAAAATTTAACTTAATTATTACCAATAAATTGAGGCTTCAAATATCTCCATTTTAATAGCAATGTTGTTTATAAATTCTCGTGTCTTTTGGGATATTGCATCTCTAATATCAATAATCAAAAACAACAAATTCTTACATTGGTCACAGACGTGTTATACTCTTACTTATGTTAACGTGTTTATTAACGAAATTTAGTGTAATTCTTACACATATCGGGCATCACATCGGGATTAATTTAAGATAAATATTAGTAGATAATGCCAAAATACTATACAGCAGTCATTGATAAGAAAGACTTATATGACTAGAAGTTGTTAATATACAAAAAAAAAAAAAAGAAACCGCACATTGAATATATTTCTCCCCCAGAGACTGCATTTGGAAATGTATAAAATATTTCATATGCGTATAAAATAATAATGCGTATAAAAATATTTGATAAATTCATCTTCTAATGCTGTCAGCTTCTTTAAACGTGACGTCACTTATATAGACGTAATTTGAAATGTTGCGTCCAAAATATGCTAAAATGTTGACAACAAAATCCTGTCGACTATATTGACATTTAGTTCTTGATAATGAACGTCGGACAGCTTATCCACAATTTGGATTTAAATGTACGACTTATTTGAAAATTAGAAAAATACAATAAAAATCAAACTGAAAAACTTTATTGGTTGAACTAAAAAATGTTTAAAGACATTTTTGCTACCTAAATATATTGATTGTGTGGGGGATTTTTTTCCTTTATAAAATTTGTATTAAAACGAACGTCAAGTATTTTTATTAAGTATATCAAATTATTTTTTTTATTGACTTTTCCCTCCATTCTGTCTCAGAGTTTGATCGAGGTTGTACAAGAATTGTTCAAATTTTAAGTGTTTTCTGCTTTCCTAAGCCATTTTCAAAGAAGGGTAATATGTTTTTTTTTTTTTGCTAAAAATAAGTTTAGAGTTTTCAAATTTATTAGCGCATCAAGTTACGCATTAGTTTCAAATGTCACGTCACCATGTGGTAGTTTGTGGAGCGTCGTTTTTGGTATTACATAGATTTAATATGTTTGTCCTTAAATTGAATTAAATTTTATTAATACCATATTGTTTAATTTTTTATGAAAAATGCTTGTAATGTTTCTTATCGTTTTTTTACAATTTATATAGTATAATAAATATGCATTATGTATAAACATTTATCAAATTTCTTGCGTTTTTATGTGTTCATTGGTGATGTTCGATTTAATAGTTATCATCAAATTGTAAGTTAATATACGAAATAATGTAGTAGTTGTGTAATCAACATATAAGTTATTTGAATTTTTATCATTATTAGAAAACTTTCTCAAAATCGGCAAGAAAATCAGTAAACACCATTACTCTGTTGCAGTTTTGACATTTTTTTATTATGGGATTACTAATAATAATGGAGGATTTTTTTTTTTTTTTATAGTAGATAAGTTTAATTTGCTAGCTTTTATTTATTTATTTATTTATTTATTTAGATAGATAGATAGATAGATAGATAGATAGATAGATAGATAGATAGATAGATAGATGTGTGGGTGTGGTTATTTTTATTTGTATATCGATTACATGATTATTGTTGACGAGTGTTCGTTTTAAAATATTATATGTCAAGTGGATATCAATTGAGCTATTTTTAATCATTTATTACGGCTATTTTATGCGGCAGAAATACCTCCCACATATACCTCCAGTAGCAATGGTGTCTTCATCTAGCTAATGTCTTATTATCTGGGGTGTATTTCTGTTGTACCCTGTAAATAAGGAAACATTCGTCATTCATTTACGGAACAGTTAGCATTACTGTCGGTTGAAATAAAATCTTATTCTTAAAACAGTTTTCGCAATTCCATTGTCTGTTATCATTAATTAACAATTGATGGCTGTCTCCTTCCTAACATTTTGTTAAAGGTAATGTGGAATATCAACATTTTGATCATATCATTATTTTCTGTTTGTGTTACATGGGCTATACATTTTAGTTGTTGCCGCTGCTGGAAGTTTTCAAATGAAGAGGTTTCTATTATTTGGTAAAGTTTTGGTAAAGTCTATGAAATCTAATGAAGAACTCGCTTCATTTTTACCTACAGCGTTAATTTGTTGGAAGCCAAATTTAATTCTTGATGGACATTCACTATTATAGTTCAATAGACAGGGTTTGTGATTGCTGTATTTTTATAAATGTAAATTTTTATATCCTATCATAATTGTGCTTGGCCCTGCACTCATTAGTTCGAATGACCGCTATGCCCTTCCAATACTGCATTAATAATGATCTATTCCGTTTAGACTACATGGAAAGAGGGGAAAAGACATTACTTGACTTCAACGCGCGCACCCGGGCCCAAAATAGCCCTTACCCCACAACCGTCGATGACGCTGGCATCAGTATGACTAACGATTTTCCAGTGCAGTGAAGAAGGTACTGACGCGGATAGCTGTTTCTCTAGATGAAGCACTTTCTATCATGGTGAACGACATGGCATCAGGGGTCCGAAGACAGAGACTCAACTGAGAGATGAAATACATTTTTTTTTTCCGGCAGACTGGACGGAAACCGAGTAGTAATCGCCAAAAATCCAGTTACCATGAATAAAATATCATCGCGTCTGCTGAATTATATTAAAATCTTTATTAAGAGAAATGTTAGTAAGTCGGGCATTTGTCTAGGTATTATTATTATTATTATTATTTTTATTTTCTTTGATTTCTGGCGTTTACACATTTCTTTCCGGGTCCCACTCAGGGACCTAAGGTTAGAAATGGCATCATGACACTTTCCACTGACAAAAAAAAAAAAAATTACATAGATAAAGCCCTTCGTAAAGTGTGGGCTGTACTTGTCAGAACAATTTTTTGTATCTCTTTGAGGCATGGACTTCCAGGAATTCCTTCAATTAGTCTACTGCAATCTTTTCCAACCAATACTAGGGCTCCAACTATTATTATTATTATTATTATTATTATTATTATTATTATTATTATTATTATTTTATTATTATTCGAATCGATTAATAAGATTTGATTTCTCCGGTGAGTTATTGTTGCTGATGATAAGGTTTGAAGTTTTGCCTTTGTTTATAATGGATAAGTTACCTAATGTTTTTAGTTTCTTCAACTGGAGTGATACATTTTTTAATATTTCCTAAAGCGGAGTACAAACTGGACGAATTTGATTTAAGAAATATTTTTTTATTAATGGATCACTACAGTTGAACCCAAAATATTAAGTTTACCTTTTATAAAAATTTTATAACATCAAAAGTTATCAGCGGCAGTAAAACACACACACAGAAATTAAACCTATCTTATCTATATAATTTTTTTATAAAACTCCCTTTTCGTCCCTCTTTTAGTTTCAAATTAACGCTTCATTCTTCATATAACCCCAATTTAACGTCATAAGGTTAATATCCGGGGTTAATTTTATAAAACCTCTTCACTTTAAGGCTAATAACTTCCACCCTCCCCTGACCTCTGCCTCGTGCATTTCGTCTGACTGAAACACTGAATTTTTCGACGGTTGTCACAATTTTTTCGACGGTTGTCACAGTTACATTTCTAATTCCGACGCGAACTCAGTCTATACACCGGAGTTGAATAAGACAGAGGAAGTTTTCGTCGGCTGAAATAGATCTATACCCGTATGAGGTAATTTTAGATTTTGTTGGGTAATGTAATACTATACACACACACACACACACACACACACACACACACACACACACATATATATATATATATATATATATATGAAAAGGGTGTGTATATAAATATATATGTGTGTGTGTGTGTAATATATTATATGCGCGGTACTTATTAGAAAGCGCTGAATATCAGAGATAGAGCTAACATATTTGGTTGGATTGATATGAGTTTGTGACCCTGAGTTTCACGCTTTTGCGGTCGTCAGACAAACTCTGGGGATGATCTCAGAGGAGATCGAAAATACTTGGGTTAACAAAAAATACGGCGCTTTGATGAATTTCAAGAAGATAATTAGAGAACTAAAAGGGATTATAAAATAAGTAGATATAATTTGCCTATATTATTTAATGAAACATGCTTGAATGAAGATATTCTGCCTATATATATATATATATACCAACCAGGCCACGAAGGGTGTCGCCGATCAAGTAAGGCCGCATTTTTTTAATAAGATTTTTCAAATATTCTAGCCCGTAGGTGAAAATAAATATACTGTTCAATAAATAAACTGAACGTCTACTCAAATATGGGTATCCATTAAGTGTTTAGAATATATAGATACCCCTTTATAAGGTAAAACATTTCCATAGTTATGAACACTCTTTTAATTCCTCGATAGATATCTGATGAGAGGTACGATGACCAGTCAGCAGTTTCTATTATTTTCTCACATTGCCATGTATTTTCTTTTGACCAATTTTCTCTTCAGTTTTTAAATATGTTTGTTTTTATAACATTGTTTAAATTATTAACTACATCGTTTTTGGATATACCTTTAAAACATAAATCTGTATGGCTGCGTGTGTATAGCTGTGTATGAAAATATACACACATACATACTGTTATGGGATTCTACCCTACATAGGGCTGAAACTAAGTGTCGATTCTAAAAGTGTTTTGTTATAGTAGATATTAGTGCACCATCTCTCTAACAGAACTTGGAGTAGAAAAATGGCTGATCAATCATTGTTGTCACGCCTACTTTAACTCTATTTCATGAAAAGGATTACAAACTGAAGTGATCTCTGTGTTCTGCGAATGGCTCACAAACACGTATCTGCACACAGTCGGCTATTTCAATACGAAAGGAAAGGAAAATAATAGACACAACGCCACAAATGATATGATCAAAAATCCAATCAGTAAACCAAGCGTAGATACAATGTCGGAATAAAAATAGTATAAAAACAGGCATCAGATTAGAAACTTTAAACATAGCTACCCGAATATCTTAAGGGATGCCTAGTCGATAAAAGTATGGTAAAGCGAATTTGGAAGTTGTGCGTTCAGTCTCTGTGCTTGGCAGTGCTGCTGAAATCTGCACTAGACCAGCGAATGATAGATGGTTACCTTAATAAAGAACTGAGAAGATCTGAAATTTCTTCAGATGGACACGAAATATGAAAGGAATGAGAATAAAATGTTCCTGTAGATTAAAAAACGAATTTTGTCACAAATTTCCGGGATGATCCAATTCCTGAAATATGGCAACAAAAACAACGATAAAACTGATTCTAATGAAAACCCGTATAAAGTTTAAAACATTGTTTTACTGTTTTTAAGGCATAATTTCACCTTTTTATAATAAAATGCATTTTGCCTTATAAGTGATAATTTTGCATATTATTGCACTTTAAGACACGCTTCTATATTATCGAAAACAAATGTGACTTTGAATTTCTAATCGGTTACGCAAGCTGATCTCCCTCTTTTTTATTATACCTCTTGATTCCTTAGGGAACATAGGACCGCAACAACACCTCTCTAACGGACGCGGTTCTGGGCGATCCTCTTCAGCTCGGCTCATATTATGCCGGGTGCCTTCAACACTTCTCCGCCATGTCTGTTCTGGTCGACCCCCACTTTTCGCTTCCCTTGTGGATTTCAGTCAACATATGGAGAGGAAAGGGAGATCACCGCCCTCTGTGGAATCAGATTGAAACCATAGACAAAGAACATCATTGGAAAATTCGTAAACTTAAGGAATCAGCACATATGCTAGGCCACAAAAATCTCCTGAGCCGACCAAGCATAGAAATGAATACAATATGGGAACCAGTAATAAGGAGTGCCAGAGAAAGCAATAATAACAGCAAAAATTGCAATATGAGCTCTGGTAAAAAAACATTCAATCATAACAGCAAAAATTGCAATATGAGCACTGGTAAAAATGGTTGCTGGAAACATTAAGTTTATAAGTCCCAAAAATTCATACACAGGTGTCCTTAAGGATCCAGGGACAGAACCCAACACCTGGTTAAGGCAGTGGAGAACTTGGATAGGGGAATTAACAGAAGATAACTGATAACTGACATCCATTAGACATGGCATGTGGAACTAGAACAGTCTACTCTAGCGAGCGAAATAAAGGCTTCAGTTCGACATTCCAACCATCTGACGAAACGTTGTGATAAATATGGCAACAAAGATGAGGACAATAGTCCGAATAATGTAAATAGTGTACATAATACCACATCTCAGAAATATAGACAGATTCTAAATTGTGTGTTTAATAATAATAATGATAACAAGATTGTACTCACAAGTACAGCTCACACCTGACGAACAGCTTTATCTATGTAAATTGTGTGTAAGCTTGCTTTTTTTGTTGTTGTTTTTGTTGTTGTTGTTTTTGTTTTGTTTTGTTTTGTTTTTCTTTTTTAGTTTTTTCAAAAAATACTGAATGGAAAATGCCATTGCGCCATTTCTGACCTTAGGTTTCTGGTTGGGACCCAGAAAGAAATGAGTATACACCAGAAATCAAAGGAAATAAAATAAAAATAATAATAATAATCTTGGGATATTTATATCTCAGCCTTAAAAAGTTATTCTCTATTTAAAAACATTGGATCTAAAAATTACTTACTGAAGCTTTCATTACTAAGGAAAAATTACTAAAGAATTATTTAGAGTCACTGTTAT